GCCACACCGTATGACTGCATTTCTATGAAATGTACGGTACAGGCAAGTCCTTGGAGATCAAAAGGAGATGAGTGGTGGCCACAGGGTCACGTGGTTACGTTTTAGAGAGATGAAAGTGTTCTGGAATTAGCGATGATCCATGCACAAGTCTTTGAACATACTGAAAAAAACTAAATTAGACACTTTTAAGAGAGTGAACTTTATGGAATATGAATTATATCTCAATAAAGCTGTTATTAAAAAATAGGCAAAGCTAATCAGGATGATGGAAGTTGGTAGACGATGGCTACAGGAGGCATGAGAGGGTCTTTAGGATACCCTTTAATTCGCTGAGTAAAAACGCAGGGAACTAGATGCTTAAGATCTGTTTGCTTTGTCCTGTCGTTGCGCGGCAGTAAAATGTTTTCAGATGACCGTGTGTGTTCTGGTTAAGAAATCATAATGCAATCACATGTCATTGCAGTTAAAATGAAAGAATGCATATAAGGAGTTCAAAGTCTCAAAGACTTAATAAATGTTAGCTCCCAGCCAACACTAATGAAATAACACTTTATTATTTATTAAAATTCCGTACCAAAGATCCAGTTCTGTAATGAAGTCTAACCCTGATTAAGCTTTGACACTTTATTAATTAAAATTATGAACTTTCTTTGTATACAGTGACTCGTTTTAAAGAATGACCTTTAGACAACTCGAAATGCGAAGACGAGGAACTACATTATTTGGGCTGAAAATGAATCAGCGGCTGAAAAAAGTCATACAGAAATATTCACTGACTGGGATCATTCATTCCAACTGATTTTCCATTGGATTCAAACTGTTTTCATAAAATGTATTCAAAGGATATGATACTATCTATGGTAGAGACAGTACTCAAATTCAGAGTTTCTGATTCTAAATCTCAGTCTTTTCATTCCTCAAATTTAGCCATTAATGGAAAACAATGTGTAATTTCTCTGAGGTCAGATTACACTTCCTGTCTCTGCATGGAGGTTTGCCATAAGCCCAACCCCAGCAATTCACACCCATCTCTTCTGTCTCTCATTTAAATCTCTTCTTTTAAATTTTGTTTTATTGTTTGAAGTATTACAAATAGTAGTACATAGGTCTCCTTCTCCCCCACCCCCTATTGACCTCCCCTGGGCCTCCCCTACCTGCCCTCACCCCCCCGCCACCCCTAGTGTCTTGTGTCCATTGGGTATGCTTTTATGCATGCATGTTCTTTATATTCCACAAATGAGTATGATCTTGCCATTTGGCCCAGTAATATCACATTTAAATCTTAAAGTGGAAGGTTGCATAGCCTTTATGGCTTTCCACTTGGAAAACAACACCTATCTTTAATTTGATGCTTCCTCACAGATGGTTTATAAATCAGATGAGGGAATAGATAGTTCTATTTAATTGCTATGGGCATATTTTTAATAAAGCTCCAATACTGGATACATACACAGTGTGTGTGTGTGTGTGTGTGTGTGTGTGTGTGTGTGTGTAAAATCTTAGCTGAATGGATTCATTTAATAGAAATAAATCTGCCCCTTGACAAGATATTCTTGTTTTGTATGGGTGGCTTTTAAGAAAACCTTAGAAATGTTGCATTTATCAGGGATTAACAAAACCACATAACACTATATATCTGAATCTCTTTATTTAAAAACAATTGTTTTGAGTTAGAACACTATCTTTAAGACCCACAATGCTATTATAAATGTGAGATATAAACGTTAACACCAGTGGAATGGCCTGATAATTACACTATTGCAATTAAGAGAGAATTTTAAGATCTCAATTTACCCATTTAAAGTGACTCCCTAGACTAGAGCAATCATGCCCGTAGCACAAGAAAGTCACAGATAACAAACACTAAGGCATCGGACACAGCAGCTCAGAATCAGAGCGAACACAGATGGAGTCCGCAAAGCCTCTTGTCATTCCAATGTCGTGTCTGAAGTCCCTTGGGAAAAACTGTACAATAAAATGTAATAAAACACTTAAAAAACAATATTTCTTATAAGTTATAAATCTTTCCAAAAAATGAATGCTCATCTGATCAGTTGTTTGGGGTAAAGGTCCTATTACCATAAAATCCATGTGTAGACAACTTTGAAAAACAATTTTTGAAGACATTTTACGCCCTCGGGTTTATACTTTTTAAATGCTTTTGGGATCTCAAAGGTTCCAGATGTTACCACACACACACACACACACACACACACACACACACAAAGTGCATCTGCCTCCTTTTCTATGTGGTGGAATGAGAGCATAAAGAATGAACCACACAATTTTTGGTTTATCTGTTTTTCTTTTGGCCCTAAAATCCCTCATCACCTTCCTCCTCTCACCACCTGCACTGTAATTTAAACTTTTTCTTGGCGTCTACAGCTGCAGAGGGACGAGTTCATAAAAGACATAAAAGAAGAATCTGTGAACAAAAGCTCACTGCCACCAATCCAGTGCCAACAGAGGCCCCAGTGTGGGGTGCAGAAAAAAGAGAAACTTTTTTCAGATGAACAGTTAGCCAACCAACTGAAATTGCACTCCTCGGAGAAAAAAGGGTGGCCTGCTTATATGAAGGTCCTGCCCTGGTCCCTGATTGGTCCATTTCTATGCAAATGAGGAATCCATATTTGCAGTCTGATTGGTCCCAAAAGCACTGTCCTGATTGGTGGATATTGTGCATTCTGATCGGTTGCTATGGAGCTGCTCCTCTTGGTTAGTAAAGATGCAAATGAGGCTATAGCTCTGCAGCTCTCATTGGATGGGGCAGATGTCAGCCCATTGGTTGAAACAGGATTCCAGGAACTCCCTTAAAAGCCGGGCTCAGCTGGCAGGAGCACAGAGCAGGAGGCTGGCAGCTCTGTCTGGCTTTTCCCTGAAATGCATCCTGCATCCAAGGCGTCTGCAAAGAGTGACTGCTAGATTCTGGTTTTGAATGAATTTGGGCCCCACGAACCACAAGGGGTCCTCCTGGGCAGGTATGTTTCATCTCAGAGTCAATAAAACAAATAACATTGTTGAGTTCAAGTTCTTGAAAGCCCATCCCTAGCATGAAACAGTGGGGCTGGAAGACTACTTGACTATCTGGTTCTTCCAGTAGTAAAATACAGAAATGTTTAAAAATGCTTAAACAATGTTAGAAAAGTTTTAAACTGTTTGAGTTAACTTTCCTTAAAACTCAAAGTGTAATATTAAAGACACATTCCCCACAGCCTTGAAGCGTGTGTACCCCAGAGATAAGGATTTAAACTAACGCAGTGACTTGTCAAGATAAACGCCTGCCTGAGTGGCTACTCTCCTTAGCCCCTCGCCTTGTTTGAGATTAACGTAAGCGCATTGATGTAAATCATCTATAGCCACCCGAGCTGCTACAGGTATGAACAAGCTTTAAATATGGACCCTGGCCAGCTAACGATGCTCGGCTGTGGAGACAGCCACACAGGCACGTCCTTTTGCCAGTCCGGCAAGCGACACCGCTCCACGCTCCTCTCTCTGCCAAATGACAGAAAAACGGTAACACCCGATAGAGACGCGACTGAGCTCTCAGGTTT